ATAAAGTGACACGAAACTCGGGAGCAAAATTTTAAATACATTCGAGCACCTTAACTATCACTCGGCTGTAGATCCTCAAATCATCTCTGAATTGGTGCTGACACCGTCCTTCCTTCTGGAGGGGGTATACTTCTGCTCCCCATGAATCCTGTGTGTGTTGTAAAGTAGCCATCGCTACTACTACTTTACAACACACACAGGGAAACAAAAGTAGCCACCCTCCAGAAGGAAGGACAGTGTCCGCACTAGGGCTGCAACAACTCATCGACATAATCGATTATAATCGATTATGTCGATGAGTTGTTGCAGCCCTAGTGCGGACACTGTCCTTCCTTCTGGAGGGTGGCTACTTTTGTTCCCCTGTGCGTGTTGTAAAGTAGTAGTAGCGATGGCTACTTTACAACACACACAGGATTCATGGGGAACAAAAGTATGCCCCCTCCAGAAGGAAGGACAGTGTCCGCACTAGGGCTGCAACAACTCATCGACATAATCGATTATAATCGATTATGTCGATGAGTTGTTGCAGCCCTAGTGCGGACACTGTCCTTCCTTCTGGAGGGTGGCTACTTTTGTTCCCCTGTGCGTGTTGTAAAGTAGTAGTAGCGATGGCTACTTTACAACACACACAGGATTCATGGGGAACAAAAGTATGCCCCCTCCAGAAGGAAGGACAGTGTCCGCACTAGGGCTGCAACAACTCATCGACATAATCGATTATAATCGATTATGTCGATGAGTTGTTGCAGCCCTAGTGCGGACACTGTCCTTCCTTCTGGAGGGTGGCTACTTTTGTTCCCCTGTGCGTGTTGTAAAGTAGTAGTAGCGATGGCTACTTTACAACACACACAGGATTCATGGGGAACAAAAGTATGCCCCCTCCAGAAGGAAGGACAGTGTCCGCACTAGGGCTGCAACAACTCATCGACATAATCGATTATAATCGATTATGTCGATGAGTTGTTGCAGCCCTAGTGCGGACACTGTCCTTCCTTCTGGAGGGTGGCTACTTTTGTTCCCCTGTGCGTGTTGTAAAGTAGTAGTAGCGATGGCTACTTTACAACACACACAGGATTCATGGGGAACAAAAGTATGCCCCCTCCAGAAGGAAGGACAGTGTCCGCACTAGGGCTGCAACAACTCATCGACATAATCGATTATAATCGATTATGTCGATGAGTTGTTGCAGCCCTAGTGCGGACACTGTCCTTCCTTCTGGAGGGTGGCTACTTTTGTTCCCCTGTGCGTGTTGTAAAGTAGTAGTAGCGATGGCTACTTTACAACACACACAGGATTCATGGGGAACAAAAGTATGCCCCCTCCAGAAGGAAGGACAGTGTCCGCACTAGGGCTGCAACAACTCATCGACATAATCGATTATAATCGATTATGTCGATGAGTTGTTGCAGCCCTAGTGCGGACACTGTCCTTCCTTCTGGAGGGTGGCTACTTTTGTTCCCCTGTGCGTGTTGTAAAGTAGTAGTAGCGATGGCTACTTTACAACACACACAGGATTCATGGGGAACAAAAGTATGCCCCCTCCAGAAGGAAGGACAGTGTCCGCACTAGGGCTGCAACAACTCATCGACATAATCGATTATAATCGATTATGTCGATGAGTTGTTGCAGCCCTAGTGCGGACACTGTCCTTCCTTCTGGAGGGTGGCTACTTTTGTTCCCCTGTGCGTGTTGTAAAGTAGTAGTAGCGATGGCTACTTTACAACACACACAGGATTCATGGGGAACAAAAGTATGCCCCCTCCAGAAGGAAGGACAGTGTCAGCACCAATTCAGAGATGATTTGAGGATCTACAGCCGAGTGATACGCAAGATACATAAAAAAAATATATATAATTTAGGTACTTGAATTTTAAGTTTTAACTCCGGAGTTTAGTATCACTTTAACATCTTGGAACTTTTTCTGTTGCATTGAGACCCATGTTTCCCTGCTAGTCTGTGCTGACTAGCTCCTGTTTTTTGCCTTTACCTGCCACAGCTATTTGAAAACCCAACTCCAGGCACAGTTTTGGGTAGACTAGGGAACAGTTTGTCTTCCTATCTTTCAATTCAAATTTTATTTCATGAATATTTTTTGGAATGCTCTGCCACAAGCAGTGGTATCTGCAAGAGTATTGATTAATTCAAAAATCAATTGGATACCATTCTAAGAGACCGTAACACACGGGTACGGGTACACTTAAATACTAGACCACACGCACGTTGAACTTGATGGACCTGTGTAATTTACTTTTTCAAGTGGAAATGCCATTCTTTCCTAGGAGGCATATTTACACCTGTGCTGTGCAGATTAGTGTTTTTAAAGAGATACTGTAAAGGCGCTCGGTAAGAATGTGGGTTACCTAACACTCTGCAACACTTATTCATAGGTTTGAGTGGCTTCTTAAATGATCTAAACCAAAAAGTAAAGTTTGTATTATATCCCAGCTTGCCAGTCCTCTGATGTGGCGGCTCCACTAGTTTTCTTTTTTTTTTTAGGCATTTGATCATTTCCCCTGTGAATGTCCCCTCCCTTCCCATTTTGTCTGACACCCATCATAGGGAAAGAAAATGACTGCAGTGGGTCACAGTTGCCAGTTAAAACCTAACAGAGGTTCTCCATTTTCAAACTGAAATGTGTTTTGGCTGGCTTTAGGAGTTGGCTTATATAAATGCCGGTCATCCTATATTTCCCTGCAAGTTTTAGGGCCCATTCACACCATATCCAGATCACCTCTAAACCAGACCAGATTGTTTCCGGACTCAAAATATATCTTAATGTATCTCTATGCTATTTCTGGCCTTTGTTCAACTGGTTGTTCAAATCTGGTCCCACAAATGTTGTGGACCTGCCCTTAACGAACATGCAGGCTGTCCTGTGTGTTTTTTTTTTTCTCCTTTTAATTATAATTTAGTATCAATATACCTTTTTGTTGGTAATCCCGATTTCCCCTTTTTCACCTTTTTATTTGCTCATGATAAATATGAATACACCATAGTCTGAAATTAAAACTGCGTTCATACATTGTCTAGTCCTGTGGAATTGCCGAACTGCACTGAACGGTTCAGGAACTAGAATGCCATTTTTTTTTTTTTTACCTTTTCTAGTTATGCATTTTGTTCGACCACCTGAAATTCATTCCTTTTACTGTTTCATTACAGTTCTGGCTGGAAAGAGATCTAGCTGCAGTCCAAACACGCCATTTATGACTTTATTCTGTATATGGTCTTTTAATCGCTTAAAGGGACAACTATTCTTTTTGGGTATAGTGCTTGCTTTTTGGAACTTTGTATTTCTGAAAAATGTGTTTCTCTAAAGTGTTCCTATTTTTTGGGGGTTTGACATAAACAATGTTGGCTTGCAAAAATATGCTAAATGTACGTAAGTTACTAGCTTGTAAACTGCTGCCCTGCCAAACAGAGCATTAACGAAGAGGAATATTATAGTCAACAAGATTAAGGGGATTTGCTCTCAGGTGCATTTTACTAATTGGTTGTGCATTTGACATGACTGGAGGTAACTGAACAGTGGTGGGAAAGAAGCGCAGAGGTGAGCATGTTATTGATCTACAAATGGGCATAAAGAGACTAGTGTTAGCAGCAAAACCTGTATTTTAGTAGTGAGGGCGTCCCCAATTGTCAGGCCGGAATACAGAGAGTCTTGATGTATATTTTTCTTTTTGGTAGAAGCTGTCCATGCAACATTGTCTACGGTCTCTGTTCTAAGTTGCCATAAACTGTTTTTGAGTAAGATATTAAGTTAAAGTTAACTGGAGGCTAAAGGTAAGCTTTAATATTTCAGACCTACACAGAAGAGGGGATTTAGTGTTTACTCTGTCCGGACACTTATCTGGCTGGTTCTAACAAGCTGCTAAGTGTATTAGCCTGGAAACAAATACAGCCATCTGGCAACTTCTCACACATTTCCTGTTCTCACAAGCTACATTACCTTTTATTTCTGTAAATGTCTCAACACGTGTCCTTTTACATCTAGAAGCATTTAGGCTTTTGTGAAGAGTGGGATATCTTTGGGTTAATAGCACTGCATATAAGTACATATCATTGACTTGGTGTTTAGCCTCCTGTTGACACCCCTTTACTTGTGGTGGTAAGAAATGCTTGGAATCCCTTCATCCACATCTAGATTTGACTATGTTAAAGCTGAAACCCACCAGGGTAAGAATCTGTTTTTATCTGTGCAAAACTTGTAACGATACACCAAGGACAGTGCAGTTAAAAACAAAAGCAACCAATGGATTAGGGTCAGAAGGATAGCGGACAGTTTAAGACTCTCAGCCGGTTTTGTGTTAACCGGATTTGAATGAGTAACTGAGCTCTATTCGGGCTTAAAGATGACATTGTATGGAGGACAGGTGAAAGGAATGTAGTTGAAGAACACATACTTGCACCTTCTACCAGAACTTGCCAAGCCTGCCATCAGTGCTGAATTTTAAGGAGAATTGGAAGTGTAGTTCTCTGGTGTCATACACCCTTATTGGTCAAGTGGTTGACTTGTATGTAGCTTTTACATTTTCCTAGGTATCTCCCATAAATCTTTGCTTACACTATCTGAAGACAGAAGCTGTCTTTGGGTTAAGACTATTTTTGGAGGCTAGGACTTGTAGTTGTGGTTACTTAAGTCATTGACACTTGGTAGTTTAACATAATTTGAGCTTCATGGGTGATTGACGCCGGATACTCAAATTTTATGCTGCAACGTTGCTGATGAGTGTTTACCAGTTCAAAGCATTTATACAGTAGGTTTAGTTCTATATGTAAGACTTGAATATTCCCGTCTTGTAGATTCATTATGTAATTTATATGCCAAAGAGGCTTGTTTGATTTTGGGTCAACTGTTGCCTACTTTAAATATATTCTGTTTAAGGCCTATTTGACCAATGCCTTGATGGTTTATATAGCTAATGTAAAGTGTAATGCCTGTTCCATTTTATCTTATGTTTGTGACTTCAGTACTAAGTTTGAGTGTTTTTCTTTTTCTAGAATTGAGTGTTGGTGGTAGAGAAGCTTCATTTTAGTGAAGAAAAATGAGTGAACTCGATCAGCTACGCCAGGAGGCCGAGCAACTCAAGAACCAAATCAGAGTAAGTAGAAAAATGTCTGATTCTCGTCAATTTTGGGGGGTTTCATGGATATTTTTAAACTACAAGTCACCTTATAGCGCATCATTTTTAACTATATAAAATATGCTCTGTATTTTTACCCATCCTTGATACGAAGCAGAACTGTAGCTTTCACAGAAGATGTATTCTTGTATAGAGCTATAGTAGATTTTGATAGGGAAATTCAGGTCTTTTTGTTCCTCAATTGCCATTTTTAACGGCACCGTGACCTGTTACTTTTTAAAACTATTTTCTATTAAGGTAACCAGCTTTGATCAAGCTTTAAGCTCATACAAGATGCCTGCTCTGTGTGACTTGATTATGCAGTGCCTCAACAGTAGACTGCGTGGCTGCTGTAATGTAAACTCGCGTCACACATTGTTTTTGTAGAGCTGCCTTTGTAAGTGTGGTGTTTACAAGTTTGTATCTCCTTGCAGGTTGGTCTTGTATAATGAGAAATGCTCTTTATTGGGATGATAAAAAGTGCACGTAAAGTGTACTCGCCAATAAGCGTTTGTATACTGCTTGCACAGTGCTGGTAATTTCAAGTTTTAATTTGATCAAGTTTAATTTTGAATACTAAAGCCAAGCTCTGATCTCAGAATCCTGAGTTTGCATCTGAATTGTAAATACAAGGTCAGTGGATTTATGTAAAATCATGATCACCAAAAGATACAAGACTCTATCCTGTGATAGTCTATAGTTCAAATGCTCTACACAATAGACTTCTTGTGTGCAAGCTTTGTGTATGACGATCAAGCTGGATCTGACAGAAGTATTGATGGCTTTGTTATCTGTGATGCACTGGAGATTGTGGTTGTGCTATGTTAGTGTGTCTAGCAGTTATTTGTCCCTCAATGAAAACAACTACATTTGCAAATTCATTCCTACTGCTACTATGGTGGTCCTGATACTAAACAGAAGCAAAGTAGATTTGAACATATGTGCAGTGGAATGAAGCACATATTGACTACCTGGTAGGAAGCTTTGCCCTCACTTTGTATGTCACACGTTTTCTACACCTTGGGCATTTATTTTAGATTTAAAGTACTCGTGTATTTTCTATGTAGTTAAGTCGCATGTATTTTGGCTTCCTATATACATGTGTTCATGGTGAATTTACATAGAATTTTAAAATTGTTAACATTTTCAGAGATGAGTCTAGATCCTCCTGCGGGTGTTAACATCATAGCCTGCACATACCCTAATAGTTCTATATATTTCACAGCCCCTCCAGCATTGAAAATATCCAATAAGCCTTATGCACACACACCCTAATTTGTTACAGTAATTGCTGCTGTGCTCCTTATTGGAAGCTGCATTTCCTGATTCAGTACGCATTATCTACCACCACGGACCGCCGTTCCACTGACCACGGCAATAACACTTACAGGTCACAAACCTAGTCTGTGCACTTTGTAATTATACATCTTATAGGTCTAAGCAGTTATTGTAAAGGTTTTGACATTTGTAGATTAACTCTTTATAGAATCACAAAATCTGTGACATTTGACATTGAGAGGGAGCAGCCAATTTCAGTCATCTAAGAGCATATATGAGAAACCTTGGACAGTAGTATTGGGTGAATAGCATCTAGAGTGACTTTTTCACCACGTTATTGCACCTTTTTGTTATGCAAATTCACATGGGGAAATAGTCTCCTCCCAGCTGTAGAAGACTGATATCTATGGTTACCTTGTAAATGAAATTTACCATAGTTCAAGTTGTCTCACATTGCCCCAACTGTTTTTGCTAGACTTTGGGCACGTTTATATTGCTCATTACATTGCTTTGCTCTCTTCCCATTCATTTTGGTCATTTGGATCGTCCTGACCTCGTTAGGTGTCCCCACTATAGTTTTCCCAGTTACATAGAAGAATAAGCCAAACGTTTTTTTTACTGCCCCATCATACCAGCTAGGTCAGTTGCACCGACCTGTGAAGTCAGTTGCATAAAAACTAGTGACTACATTTGTATATTTTCTCAGGTGATAATGAAGGCAGTCCTCTCCAGTTGTAAGTTTGGGTAAGGTCCTAGTAAGGCAAAGCATCTTTTCTTTCCCCAAGAAGCCAAACTGCAAGCAACATTGCTAGAAATCCTTGCAGTAGATGTAGCAGGGTTTTTCTTTTTCTCAAGAAATGTGCTTTTTACAGTTATTGCAGATTTTTAGTCTGCATTGCCTTAAATGGAGCCTCTCATGACCAAAATTGGGGGCTTCAATGGCTGACTTGGTTTTAAAGATGCATAGACCAGAGCTGTCATCCTTATTTATTCTTTACTACTTCCTGGGCCACTGACCTGTAACTAGCATGTGCATTTTGTTGGGCTATTTGGACAAACTTGTTCCAGGCGCATGACTCACTAGCATGCAGAGGAATGCAATCTACTCTTCTTGAAAACAGAAAGTATATTGAGGTTGGTTGCTCAGTTAAGATGCAACAAATGCATTGCAGAGTTTATTCAACAACTGAGCTTATTAAAATGAATTTTAAAAAAATGGCCCACACTTCCTGAACTTAAATAGTATCCCCCATGGAATTTCCATGAGCCGACTTCAGTAGGTCAGTCCTTTGGGCATTACTTGTTTGCAGAGGTGCAAAGTCAGGGCAGACCTCTGGGATTTTTTTTTTCCTAATTACAAGCCACAAGGCGGTATGCTTCCTTCCATATGTGTTCCATACTGGAGACATGAGTAAAATTGCTCATTTTCATACTATACAGTTTGAGTCTATAAGTGACATGCTCCACATTCCTTAATACAATTGCTGTGGCAGACATTTGGCAATGGAAACCAATTGCAGTGGGAAGGAAGAACACTATTGCAGTAGATCTAGACCCTTACTGGTTGATTTAGTTTGCTAAAGCATTGTGAGGGGACTTGGGGCTTAGAAGTTGGGATGCTCCATGTTGTCCGAACGTCCTTAAAGCCCATGCTTTCCAGGACAGCATGGAACGTCCTAATGTCGTGAAGAGGTTAAGCAGGCAACAGTTGGTAAAGGACTTTTAAAGGATATACATTGAAGTTTTTTTAATGTTAGTGGCACCAGGTTCCAACACTGTTGGCAAACAGGTTTCATAGTACTACAGCAGTGTCTGTACATGGTCAAATACCTCTCCAGAAATAAATCCTTGGGTGTTTGCTTTATCTTGGTACACATCAGCTTTTCTGCAAGCGAATAGTTCTCCATGTCTTCATTAATTCTCATCTCTTCTAAACAGTTGTTAAAAGCTTGGCTCCAGCCCGGACCAGACTTCCTGGATGTCTTTAGTTTAGTGTATCCATCAAGGCCTGTTTTGCGGAGGGTTTACATACTAAAATGACTCAAAACTAGTTCTGCCTTTTTTCCCCTGCCCTCAAATGTTGGTCTCTGCTGACTGTGACATGTGTGTTAGACTTTTATAAACGCACAAAAAAAAGCTCAAAGCCCTACCCATTATTGTTTTCCAAGTCCCATATTCTTACATAGATTTCGATTTTCAGAGGAGGTGCATAGCTGAACCTTTTAATGTTACCCTTGTGTTTTCTCTGATATTGGTGTGTATTAAGCGTGCCTATAATGTTGGGGAGGAGTACCTCCTTTAATTGGGGTTTTGTAACCCTCTTCCTCAGAGACCATACAGCACTCAATAAAAGGTCAGTAGGAGTGTTTCCTGAAGCCTGTGCTATGTAACGTTGTTGTTTTTCTGCTTTGTCACAATCACTTTCAGGACTAGTTCACACCAGATGCAGTTGTGAATACAGTCCATTCAGTTTGGCAGCTGCATCAAAATCACGTCACAATTCTTTCCAATGGGATTTCTGGTGCTTTGTTCACACCAGTGCAGTCAGTTATGAGGAAGTCGGAAAAAATTCCTGCTTGCCACATTTTAGCTGCACCTGATCGCAAAAACGCATCGAAGCTGCATGCTAGAAAGTGTCAAAGCCACAGTAAAATCACGATCCAAACGTGGCAAAACACATCGTACTACCGCTGCACAGAAGCACGCAGTTCATGGAGTCATGGAATGGCGGCTTCTCTCCCACTTTTTTGGCTGTGACAAGTTCCATTTGAGTTGGCATAGATGATTATTGCTGATGTATTAATACTTTTAAAGTGTATATGTTGAAAATAGTTTCTGTCAATGATTGGGTATTGGATGGTTAGTGTGACATACCTGTTCAGTGCCTACATCTGTCAGTGCACATTGATCATAATAGGTGCTTTGGTCATAGATAGGACCAGTGTCAGTGGACTTGTGTTGATGGTCGATTGCAGCCTGCTTTTGTCTTCTGGTTTTCTGAGATGATTCATAATTTGACGGGTGCATTTCCTTTGAAGATTACCTTCTAAATTACATTTGATCGCCTTGCAGCTACTTTTGTATGGAGAGAAGAGTTTCTAATGTGAACAAAAGACAGTTGACACGGGCCTTTCTGGCAAGCGTTGACCTAATGTCCTGTTTATGTCAGTATAGGTCTTCACTCCTTAAAAATACTAGCACCATGGAAAAATCTGTTTTCTATTGTTGGATTCTGTGTTTTACCATGGCACCTGTTTAACTAGTTTAATGTCGTGTGTTAAATTTAAATTGAGATCTAATGCTCTTAATTTCTGCCTATTTTACAGGATGCCAGGAAAGCATGTGCAGATGCCACTCTGGCTCAGGTAAACATTTCACCTTGCTTTTAATTTTCTAATTTAATTGGCAGCCTTAAAGTATTAGTTATTGGTGTGTTAATCATCTTTATTTTTTTAAATTCCAGATCACAGCCAACATTGATCCAGTAGGTCGAATTCAGATGCGCACTAGACGTACCCTGAGGGGACACCTTGCTAAAATCTATGCTATGCACTGGGGCACAGATTCCAGGTAACTTGAACTTCTGTCCCCAAATGTGGCAGAAGCCATTATTACTTGAAGCATATTTTAGCAAAATCGTGATTGGCTGTTCACAGATTTCAGGGATTACATACCTACTTACCCAAGCATGCAAGCATGTCAAGGACAGATAATGTACATGCCATGGGTTACTTAAGATATTATAAACCCACTGCTAGAGGTGCTTGGTGTTTGCCGCTTGTTTGTGATAGGTGCATAATCTGTGACTTTGCCCATAATTGGGGAAACTGTAAAATCAGTTTCTCACATAATTAGGGCAAAGTGACAGGCTGTCTATGGAACCTCTCAGCTTATTTGTCTTTCTGGGTTTGGGGCTGCATGTAGTCAGACCTGTCACCTGACCAGTAGAAGTTATAGCCCTATGTTAGGTTTATGTTGGTGCTAACACAAGGCTTTGGAACTGATATCCTCTGAGGTGGAGGGGGTGGGGGGGAGGGGGAAGTACCATAACGGTGACTTTCTCCTGAGTGCCCTTTAAAGTTGAGAAACCGTACACTATTACAGTGGTGCTCAGCTGCTTCAGACCTGGGTCCCCAAAACTGAAGACCAATATCTGGTACTCTGCACAAACATTAGCACATAGTCACATGCACATTTGTAGAAGACTATTTACATTCATACACCCAACACATATATAATCATGCACATATATACATTCTCACATGATCAAAGTAATGCATTCTCTGTTGTCCTGGGATAGGGCAAAGCAAGCACCAAAATTAAATCTAGGCTTTGCTGCCCTTCTGCTACAATATTTGAGTTTTGTACAACCTCAGGCACGACCCCAAAAGCTGGAGTGAGAACCCACATTTTGAACAATCTTGGCTGCATTTTAGCCTAATACTGGCCATATTCTGTACATCAGACATAGTTGTGGCAACTCAATGACTCAGTCATTTACAATATTTTCTAGTTTCCCAGGAACAGCAGAACAAAATTGGGGTGGAATTCTATCAACGCCTCAGTGCCGCAAAAAAAGGTGTTGATTTCCACCAGTTATCTTTTGGTTGAAGGCCGATTGAAAGTATCAATTGTCTTGTGTATGACTTTAGTACCAGGATCAGTGGCAATTGATGCCTACCTTTTTAGTCATCAGCCGTTAAAAGTAGCGATCAGATCGCTAAGCAGACAGAACAAGTTCCTTAAAGCATGTAATAGCAAGTTATCACATATGTTGCTGTGCTCCGCTTGTGATCAGTTGCTACTACAAGCTTTGTGTAACTTACACTGTCAGGAGCTTTTCATTTAATCTTCTTTGCAATCAGTTGCTACTCTTATGATGACTTGTGGTTTCAGTAGTGTTATTGACTAATAAAAATCCCCTGTGTAGCATAGGCCTAACACTTGCACTCTGTTGCAGCTTGGCAACATAAGGCCAATATTTATTTATTGCTTAGCCAACTGCTATCCTCCCAAAGGTTTTTTTTTGTGCTCTGCATGGCTTTCCTATCTGTCACCAGAGTGAATGCAAATAACGGGCCCATGCTTTACAGTTTTATGGTGCCATCAAAAACAGGCAAATCTAAGCTAGCTGAATACATAATGTACACAGTGTTGCAGAAGCCATTGCTTAACTGATGTTTTCCCAACTTCATTTCCCCACAGGCTGCTAGTTAGTGCCTCCCAGGATGGCAAGCTTATCATCTGGGACAGCTATACCACAAACAAGGTGCGTGACACAAAGCAAATGGAGCAGAGTAACGAAGTTCTGGTTTACAATACAGATATTGTGGGAAAAGCGACAGTTACACAGCTGTTCAGATTATGATCTTGTGATAATTGTTTAGTCGAGCTTAAAGTAGTTAAATGATGCTGACAGGTTTAGGTATTTAGTGTGTCCCGTCTCGGAGGATGGAACACTCATGCAAATATTTTAGACAAATTAGACTAAACGTTAAGTGATAAATTGCCTTATCCACATCTGGAATTTCAATATATTACACATTGATAGACAGAACTAAACTTAATGTTCAAGTTTCCCTTCCTGCAGAAATATGCTAATCCATTGGCTCTTAGACCTATGCATTTAGGTGCTTAGCAAGCCACATTTAAATTCCTGGCCACGCTGAGAAATGGAGAGTTTGGCACTTCAGCACTGTTGCTGGCTTACTTTGGTGGTATTCTTTCAAATTCATGTTTGGGGCTGTTTGAAGATTTTCAAGTAAAATTGAAGAAATCCAACCAATTTTACTGTGGATCAGGTTTATTTTAAAGAAAATTACTCCTGTACAAAAATCCAGCAGCCCATTGTCCCCCGCTCTCAATCTGACACCCCTCACCTGGAAGCTTGATTGTCTCTGCCTAAAAGCACCGTCATCTAGTGTGTTGACCGCCTGCTCATCTCTGCAGCAGCACGCAGCGTGGAGCACTTTTATCTTAGTTTACAGAAGAAACCCTGAAGTCATCCAAGTACTTCCCTAAGCAACTTGGCTATAGTTCTCCCCTCCCAGAGCTTCTGCTCTTCACATTGAAGACTAAAAGGTTGCTGATGCACTGCCAGGAAAAGGAGAGCAGTGTTAGCTAAGCTGCTGAGAGAATTCCTTGAATGGCCCTACTATTCAGAGGTTTGTTTTTTTCTGTGAACTAAAATAAATTGCTCCACAGTGCTTATAGATACAGAAGTCTGTGAGGACTGGTTGGTTTAGAAGGCTCACATTTATTTATGGTTAGCACCCGTAAATGTTTACTGCCTGGCTGCGGATTCACATGAAGTGTTTTTGCTCATTCTCCCTGGTATTATGGGCTGAAATTTGGCGTTATTGTATCCTTTTGGCTTTCCTTGTTCCTTAGTCAAGTCTACCTCAAGGTTTGCACTAGAGATACTAGTATTTGTGCCGATACAGTGTATTTGGCGAGTACTTTTACGTGCCCAAATGCTCCCGATACCACCAGTGTCTTAGGTGAACATGGAGCTGGCTTCCCGGGCAATCAGAAGACCGGGGGAAGCGGCTGTATCTGCAAGTACTGAAAGCAAAATATCGGTACTTATACTAGATACCAAAAAAATGGTATCGGTTTGCACCCATGTTCACTTTGTCTTGGTGGTCCTGTTGTACTCTTTGTCTTGGTCATTATTGCCCTGCTGTCTTTTTCCTTCCAGAGTCCAAGGGATTGGGAATGTAGGGCTTTAGCTTTTTGCTTAGTTTTTTCCCATTTTGGTGTTTTTGTTTTTTGGGTTTTTTTCCCCGTTCACAGCCTTTTGCGGCGGCTTCAGTATTCCTTTGGGTGGACCTATTCTCTTTGGTGATCTCTTTGGTCACGAGCACCAGGTTGGTCCCCTGTAGTCTTCACTGGTCATTGGTGGATTCCTCTGTTTTGCAGAGGACGTCCTCTTCATTGATTTTAGATGTGGATGTTAATCCTTTTAGTGGTTGTGTTACAGATTATTGGGTCCTCCTTGGTCTGGCTGTTACCCACTCAGCTGGAAAACTTGTGGATGTCCCAACCACTACTGAATTTGTATCCCTCAAAGGACAGAAAATTAGATTTTTGAACTTGCCATAAAATGTATTTCATAAAATGTATTTCATAAAGTCCTTTTTGGTTGCTTCCCCTCTGTATATTTTGCTGGCACACAAAACTGAGGCATGCTGGGTAGGGAAGGGGTTATAGAGGGACTGCCATACAAGTTTTTCTGTTTGCCAATATCTTAACCGCCTTTTTTTCTGTAGTGCATCCAATTTTGTTTTGATATGAAAACTGTCTTTTAACCCCTTCGTGACGGGAGACGTACAGTGTACGTCCCGTCACAAAGTGGCTATATGACTGGCCACGTACACTGTACGTGCCGAGTTATATTAGCCTGTGTAATGCTGGTAACTGCTGATTCTCAGCAGTTCCAGTCATTAATTAATGCCTCACTATTGAGACATTCATTAATGAAATAGTTAAACTTTTTTAAAAGCTTCTTTCTTTCATTAATGAAAGAATGAAGCCTTTACATTCAGATAAGGGTTCCCTTATCTGACAGCTGAAGATAGCAGAGACGTAGCAGTGACTCACCTCTCTGCTATTCGTTTTGACAGCTGGAGAGCCTGGCCCGATGTTAAATGATACATTTCAACCACTAGATACAAAATGTATCTCGAGTGAAATGTATCAGTTTTGATCGTCTAGGAACGATCAAAGACCTTTAGTGAGATCTGATTCTGACATTCTGTCAGGATCAATCTCTAAAGTTATTATTAGCTGTTCCTAAGCTTGGAGCAGCCTGATAATAACTAAAAATTTTAAAAAGTTTATTAAGCAGTCATAGTGATTGCTTGATATAAACTGACAAAAAAAAAAGTAGGAAAATAAAACGTTTATATATAAATATATTTGTATACTATAATTATTAAAAAAATTCTAAAAATAATAATATTCAAAACTTGCTGCTGTAGAAGAATCACACAGCAAAAATGTAAAAAGTGTCAGTCATTTAGGAACAGAAACTAAAAACTAGCTCAGTCATGAAGGGGTTAAAACTTGCAGTCCATTCATCTGCACATGTTGGGGAAAAAATGGTGTTGAAATAGTTACTGATGTGCAGCCTTCTGGCAGGATTCAAGGCAGCCTGGCTTAAATCAGCTTCTTCCTGCAGCACAGCTCTTGTGATTTATGGCTGAGGGATACAGGAAACAAAGGGCGCTGTAAAGTAAACCTGCAGTTATGTAAACTCCTGGTGTTAAAGGTTAAATGTAACTCTTTCTGTCTCCTGTGAGAACAGCGTACACCTGAGTTACCCAGATCAGGCTGAGCATTGCCCCTTCTGCTAGGAATAAATTGTCCATTTTGGAAATAAACCCTAGTTCATTAAGATGCGGATTAAATGGTCTGTAAAGTGCTTTTCATCGGTGTTGGTTCACACTATCTAGACTGATAAAAGGCTTGCTGCAGAAAATGGTTCCTGTTGTAATCTGAAGCCTGTACTACAACAGCTCTAATGTGGTATTTCTAGATGAGCAACTTTTCTCTCCTTCCTGGCATCAATGATTGGGTTACTTGATGCAGCGGAGTTCCTGACCTCCTTTATTTGTGGTTTGCAGCTTCTTCCTGCATCAATCGACACATTCATGCTTTTAAGAGCTGCCTCAGCCTTTAGGTGCTTAGCTTGTATTTCATGTTTACAGTTCTACTATAAAACGGTTAGGGTCCATTCACACCAGATGCAGTCCGTTGCTTTTTTGAGCTGCATCAAAAATGCAACACAATGATTTCCTATGGGTTTATGCTGTTCACACCTGACTTGTCAGTTCCGATACAGCCTGCACTATTTTAGCTGCATAGGAACGTGACTGAACACACAAAAAACGCAACGCAAAAAAAGTGAGAAAAATCTAAACAGCATGCAATACTCACCAATCCACCGTGCTACAGAGTAAATAAATACCTTTCAATAGACATACGGAGGCGTTTACTAATTAGGGGTGCACCAATACTGAGTGTTTGGGCCAGTACTTGTATTCGCCCAAATGCTCAGTTACTTACCCCGATACTGGGACTTTGGTCAGAAGGAGATTTTCCCTGACCGGCAGTGCCACAAGGGAACACGGAGCCGCCTTCCTGGCCAATCAGTAGACCAGGGCCGGGTAATGACTTGCTGCCCGCCTTCCTGTTTGACTTCCTGGCCAAACAGCATGGAGCCGGCTTCCCAGGCAATCAAGAAGCCAGGCGGCGCGTAATGACACGCCGCCCGGCTTCCTTATTGGCCGGGAAGCCGGCTCCATGCTAGTGTAGGTATTGGTACTCCGTATTGGTGAGTACCGAAAGATGAATATCAGTACTCGATTGCGAAAAACTGTGCATCCCAACTAATCTACAAGACCAGTCGCTCTGCACACAGTGAGACCCACAGTAACTAGTCTATTACAGCAAAGTGCAATGTACAGTAGAGGGTTCATGTAGGAGTACTGCACAAATCTGAAAGGTGGACACCAGGGACACCAGTATTTAATGTGGCTTTAAATCTAGCATGTGGAAGGAGTACTGCAGGAAGTGCGCTAGCAAAAAGAGAGCCTGTCTATTTTAGTGTTTAAATTGACAAATTATATAAAAAAGCTGAAATATATATATTTTGTATCTTTGCTGGTCTGCAGTGACTGCCATTTCAGGCATAGACTCGAGTCGAGTTTTCGGTTTCCTCTGGGATTACTGGATATAAAATGAATGGCAGGAAGTCATTTAGGAATTAAAACATCTGTAATGTAAATTGTGTATGGTGGTCCTTTGCAGGAGGCGGAGACTTTCAGATCCTCCTTTTATGCCCCTGTGGCTCGCTGCGTATCCAGAATCGCTGGTTGTAGAACAGATCCATTCTAAATATAGCACCCTTTATCTTTTCTGCAATTTATTTACTTCTCTAGTGCTGACACATTTCTGAAACACATTATGGTGAATGTTGAACCATCAATATCTGTTGCTGCCCTAAATAGACTTGTGACCTACACACTCTTTTGCAGCTTGAAGACTGTTGACAAAGCTCTGTCAATAGGATATACAAGAAAATCTGAACACATGGACAGATACTTGGCAAAACTAATTTCTAGTGGGAATTTAATCCGAAACCCCATTGGCACAAACCACCAGGCCTGAAAACTTGGGGATTAACTAACATTTGACCCTATGATCTTATATGCCTCACCTCATTTACAGGGGTCTGGTCATTGGAACTGTCAGTAATTTTCAGTCTGCATGATATAATTCCTCACATGGCACAGAATATAGCAACAGTATAATGTAACTTTTTTTGTTCTCGTTAAAAGCGCTTAAGTGCCAATCATAACTGTCCTTACACTGGAGGGGAGCACCTTGGGAGAATGTCATCACTGTGTTGTAGATTGGGGAAAGCAATTCTTCGCTCCCCACTCCCATTCCTCACTAACAGTGTAAAGCTGCAGCAGGTAGTTGAGCTGTGAGGCAAGTGTAACCACTGAAGAACATAGAGGTTACTGCCCAGGAAGAAGGATGTACATGATTGGTCTAGCATCCTGGTCCAGTCTGGATATCTCATCACCACCTCCCATGCTTGCCTCCAGGACTCTAGAGCCTCTCTCATCCCCTGGAACTCTGTACAGTCTGTTCGGCTATTACCCACTTTGCCCGCTTTTTGGCTATCCTTGAAAATTAATCCCTTCAGAGAAACCTAACTTGGCTCTACCTAACAACTGAACTTTCTTTGTCAATGAGCTTTTTTCCCACACTTTTACTACTTTTTGTTGCTGCCCTCCCTTTTTGATTGTTAGTTCTTACAAGCAGGACCTCTTAACCCAATTGAATTGTAGCTGTACGGTTTCTCTTTATAATGTAAAGCGCTGCGGAAACTGTTGGCACCATATCAATTCTGTATAATCTTCAGGTTAAAGAAAATCTACCATTGGAGAAACATGTCTTGTCAGTTCTGGCATCTTCTGAAATTCCTGGCAGTTCTATTGACTCTCTGACCTCAGTACCTTGAATAAATGAGCCAAAGCAAGCATGCGGATTAACATTTTACTCTCCTGATCTGCATACTTGTACAGGACTGAACGGATAACAGTAGCGGCCACCACAGTCCACTGGCCAGTTCTGCTTCAAAGATGTTAGGCCAGTTGACCGTCCACCTTACCTGGCATCCTACCAGAACTGAGATTAAATGTTTGATTACATAGACTTTTTGATAAAGTGGGCAACAAATCGGGGGTTTTTTTTTTGTCAGGCCTGAAATATGTATTCCAAATCTGAAGGGCCTGCATTTTTTTTAAGGGAAGTTTAGCAGATCTTTGATTAAAACACCCGTCTATTGTTTTTTCTTAGGTTCATGCAATTCCCCTGCGCTCTTCTTGGGTGATGACCTGTGCATATGCCCCATCTGGAAACTATGTGGCCTGTGGTGGTCTTGATAACATTTGTTCAATTTACAACCTGAAAACTCGTGAAGGAAATGTGCGGGTGAGCCGTGAGTTGGCTGGGCACACAGGTAAGTTTATAAATGGTCTTGAGACGTAGAGCATAGCTGGATAGCAGTGATTTGACTGTGGGAAATGTTTAGGGACAGAAATGCTTACAAATTTAATCAGGTCCTCATCATCTAACTTGCGCACTATTTTGCTTCACGTTTTATTCTTATACGGTATGCCACTGAGATGTTGCTCTTGGTGTTCTATTTCTTGTCTCAGTGGGATTTGTTCACCTTTTTATAGCGATTTCCATGAACTAATTTGCCTTAAAATATCACTGTATACACTTTAAATGCAGAGGGAAGAAATTGGGTGACTGGAGGTTGGACAAATCCTGGGTGTAAAATAGGTAGTGCATTCAAAAAGCCAACATATTTTCTGTTAATGGAAGCACCTGTCCTCAGGTTTCAGTGCCTGCGCTGGCTGATTCTTGAATCCTACAATATATCCACTGCTATGTACTCTAAATTATTGGAACTCCTAGATCCTAATGAGTGCTCAATTCAAGCTAGGCTTTAATATAAGGTACAGGCCCTTGTGTAAACTCCAAGGCTGCTGTGCTCGAGAGTTTCCAGTCTACTCATTGTCTGCAGTGGTTACCAACCTTTTTCAACCCAGGACCACAGACTTTGTAGATTCAGATGTTTTGCTGCTCCTGGTGCCTGTTTTCAAAGATCTGTTTTGCGTGTTAAATGTTTTTGTAGTGACTTTATATATTGGTAAAGCTACATGTGCTGGCTTAATGATTCCAAGGTGCTGTCCCATTCACTTAAAGTTTCCTTTTATTGCACAAATACATGTTAACATGCCATCTGTTAGTACAAGAAAAATGCTTCCTGGCCACACTAAAATGCTTTTTGGTGGCTTCTACTATCAGGAAAAACATGGCTGTCTGATGGCACCAGTAAAATGTGCATTTACACTGCTTGTAGGAAGCTGAGGGGTTGTCTTTTTTGCTCTAGTCCTGTAGCTGCAGTATGCAGCTTATGGGTTCCATATTTTGTCCTCTGTAGCTCACGAAGCAGGAAAAGAGGTTCTAATTGCAGTTGCAAAAATACAATAAAATGATATGCTGCCTAGGTACTAAAGGAGATCGCTCAAACCTGGTAGAGCACTAAAACAAACTGTATAAGGGACTTGCTGCCAAACAATCATTTTACTAATACAAATCTAGAAAAGTAGACTGGCAAAATGATGATTTATTGTCAACATTGTCATAACCTATAGGGGAGAAAGTGAGCCTGGCCAGAGGTAGAGGTAAATTAAGTGCTACCTGGCCATTTAGGACTCGTGCAATATATAAAATATCAAGAAATTCTACATGTTTTTGGGATGGTCATTGCTTTATTCATTGAAATGTTACATTTCAAATCTTAGTTGGATTTGCAGGTTTATGCCGGTACATGTATGCTTGTTGGATATGACCGCGTTAACTTATTATATTTTTAGTGGGGGACAGTCTACTCACCATTTTTCTATATTGGTATTAATAAACTATTGACAGCAAGTCCCTAATGCCATTTTTCTTGTGCTTGCAGAGCTGCTTTATATACTTCCATATATTAAGAGCATGTCTGTTTTAAAAGCACAGGAATCCTTGAACAGCGTAGCCAGGAAGTGTGTTGGAGGCTTTGATGCCATTTACGGAATGCTGGGGTGCCGTCACTGTGTACCTGACAGCTCTCCCGGCTGCATCCGAAAACTGGTTAATGCCTACAGGCAGTGCACCTGTGCTTATTTCCACGTCTGCATATCTTGCACACTTTTGCTCTGAAACCTGTCAGGCTGTGAACTGCGAATGCATTCTAAATTCCACTGGAAAACAATTGTGCCACTTGACACTTTTTTTTTCTTCCTAGGCTATCTGTCCTGCTGTCGCTTCCTGGATGATAACCAAATTATTACCAGTTCTGGAGATACCACTTGGTAAGTAGACGATCTGCTCAAAATGCAGCTCATCTTTGTATTGTAATAGAATTTTTTCACCAAGCACTTCTAGATCCAAAATGATCACATAAGGTATCGATATCTTGATTTTTGCAAAGCCATATTTTTAGTAAACCCCTTGACCTCCCTGTAACTGCCAGTCATGCACAGTGCAGCTTCAAGCGGTTTGTATCCTCGTAAATTATCGCGTTCAAATGGCTGCTAATGCAAACTTTGGAAGAATAAGGTTTATAGCTGTAGTAGTCGCTTTCAGCTGGACTTGTTTTATAATGTTTTCTATCTTCAAGCCACTTCAGTTCCAATGGAGTGTCGGGAAGATACACCGACATTTATGTCCTCACACGAAGCACAGAAACCTTAATCCTCTCACCATTAAATGTGTAGATGTTGAGTGTCCACAAACAGGATGGGGGACACACAACAGCTAGACATTGCGTCATGAAGGGGTTAAGATGCCTCTGCTACCTGTGTGTATATAAAGACTGGGGTGTCTTCTAACACTCATTGGAGCTGAAAAAGCGGCTTGAAGTTATGAAACATTTTCAGCATTCTAGAACCAGTCCAGTTGAATGTGACTAGCTATACCATGATATGGATAAATGAGAACCTTCAGACGAGCTATATTGCATTATATATAGCTATAGGTTCATATTGAGATTGATGCAAACTGCAAAGATCTGCTGTCTCTGCACTTGTGTAGTTCAGCTATCTCTTTACATGTGTATTCATTTGGATTTGTTTGATCTCCTTCTGCTTGCAGCGCTCTGTGGGACATTGAAACTGGTCAGCAGACAACCACCTTCACTGGACACACTGGGGATGTCATGAGTCTGTCCCTTGCTCCAGATTCCCGGTGCTTTGTGTCTGGGGCCTGCGATGCCTCAGCCAAACTTTGGGACATTCGAGAAGGAATGTGCCGACAGACTTTCACCGGACACGAGTCTGACATAAATGCTATCTGTGTAAGTATTGGGCCTCCAAAGCCTTTGGTATACATAGGACCCAGTGATTAATGCTCAGGCCTTTGTATTTATATTAAAAAAAATCCTTACATCTGTTTCTTGGAAAGCACTTGTAGCATTGGGCAAGATTACCGGGCACCCTAGAGAACCTAAAAACATTGAAGTGAATATTTGAAGGTGCGTTAAAATGTTTAAAAAGACCAACTTATAACAGTGAAACCACTCTTCCTATCCATATTACTATGATGGGGTTTGAGGTTAGAGTTTGAGACACCTAACCATGCCTTTTACCATGGCAGCGTTCTGGCCTGGTAATTGGCTGGTAGGCCTGAGCACTGCATTCTTGGATGAGGTCCACACGCCCAAACGGGTATTTCCAGAGGGTTTAAACTAGGGATGCACAGATACTACTATCGTTATCTATGCTCCGATGCCTAGCCCGATACTTCTAGTATCAGTAAGCCAGGCAGCACGTCACACAAGGGACGAGAGAGCATGGAGCCAGCTTCCGGCCAATCCGAAAGCCGCGCAGCGTGTAATGACGCGCTGCCCGGCTTCCTGATTGGTCGGGATGCCGACTCCATGCTTGCTTGTCACCTAGTGATCGAGAAGCACGTGGACAGCTTCCCTGCTAATCGGGAAGCCGCGTGGTGAGTCTTTACACGCCGCCTGGCTTCCTGAATGGGACTTCCGGTTCTCCGTATTCGGTATCGGCAAGTACCGGGAAAAAAAAATAACGGTACTCGATAACAAAATAAATCGGTGAATCCCTAATTTAAACATAATAGTAGGGAAGCACAGCAAAGGTATTGGCAGGTGGCAAGAGTGTCAAATGGCCCTCAAAGGGAAAAAAAACATTGATTTTCTGCAGAGCAGCTAAATCTGTCTCTTGCATGTCCCTGATTTTGTGGTTATGCAGATCAGGAAAATGTGTCTAAATGAACACATCCCAAATAAATGACATTACCTGCCTTTTCTTCCTGAATCTTATTTGATTTCATAGTTTCGCATCATTGCCTGTCTTTAAAAATATGAAGTTATGTTGAACCCTCTTTTTTTTCTTCCCCTTCCAGTTCTTCCCCAACGGTAATGCTTTTGCCACTGGCTCAGATGATGCCACTTGCAGGCTTTTTGACCTCCGTGCAGACCAGGAGCTTATGGTCTATTCTCATGACAACATCATCTGTGGCATCACTTCAGTAGCATTCTCCAAGAGTGGACGCCTCCTCCTAGCCGGATATGACGATTTTAACTGCAATGTCTGGGACACACTTAAGGCTGACAGAGCAGGTAGCTATGATGAGGTTGATATTTGTATGCAGCTATTTGGTGAAGTGATAACTACCTTTTTTTAATATATCTGATGTATATGTGACATGCACCTCAAAAGGGCACTTTATACATACTGGCATTCTTTCTCTCGTGATCTTATGTTGAAAGTGCTTTATTTTGCATGTAATTAACGCAGTAAATTTTGCATTTAAGAGGTCTAAAAGCTTTAGTGTCTGGATGCAAGTCGGTTGCTCATAGCAAACAGATTCTCTTCTAGTTTAAATGAACACAGTTGCTGTATAGTCTGTTTTCCTCTTTACTTTTTAATGTAATCCCAGTTGGACTATATCTTTTCCACAGTTAATTATCCATTGTATTTTTTTAACTACTCTACAGCAGCTCATAAAAGTAATGTTCACATTAGTAAAGTTTAACAGCCACTGTAAAATAGCGAGGGGAAGTTTTTTTCCTCTGCAGGATTCCTGGTAAAGTAAGACCATCTCCTCAAAATGGTGGTAAATGTTTTTCTGAAGGATAGATCAATATCTCCAATATGTGGAGGAGAAAAACTACTGCTTCTATGCCTACCATGCCATTGTTGGTTTACTTGGGTGTTTACTGGTTCTCTTTAATCTGGGAGCTGGGTGTTAGTAGTTGGACTAACCCTGACTTGGTTCTGTTGCCAAGAGATGAATTGTATGTACATGTAGTTTAGCTGAAAGGTGTTTGCTTTCAGGAAGTGTAGATTGGTTTCTGACAATGTTTTTAGTGTACGACAAGCATAATGTTATCTCCTGTAAATGAAGTGATGAGACTTGTGCAGGAAAGTAAACCATGACAGTTGACCTAGGGCCTTACTGTGTAGGATTAATTACATTTTGTATATTTTTGATGCAATTAACATTGATTCAGGGCAGTATGGTTGTATACACATGTTTGTTCCTTTCATTCTCTTACCCTCTGTACATAAATGCCCATTGTGCCCTATGTCTAAGGCACCTAAAACATTTACAGTGCTGAAGTTCAGGAATCTTTTGCTACCTGAATGTACCAGTTAGTCTTTAAATTGATGCCTGTGGAGTACAAGCCCAGGCTGTCCATAGGTCCTCATTCTCTCCAGGTTTAAATTAAGTACTGGCCCTTTGTGCACAAAGCTGCTTCTTGTCTGGTCAGATGACTTTGTAGGCAGTAACAGCTCTGGTATTGGCTGAGTGAATGGTGTGGGGCTAGTAGGGACGGAAGGGGGGGGGGGCAAGCATTAAACTTTAATTGTAGAGCAGTCAAAAGCATTTGTGCAACTTGGGTCCTGAATACAAGGAGTACCACTGGGATTCATTTGAAAGTGAACACAGGTACTTGCAGGCATCACACACTTTCTTGATTGTACTTCACAGGACACAGTTCTTTCTTCTACAGATGGATTATGCAGCTACCTTCATGTGATTGGACACTGGCAAGTCCATCAAAGCTGTAAGACAGCCCTGTATAACCCCTCCCACTCGCAGTTTACTTCAGTTTTTTGCTAGCATCCTTAGATGGAAGCCTTCTATCTGCTGAGAAGTGCATCCTTTTCTGCACTACCCTGCTGAAGACACTTCTGGTAGTTTCCGTAAATGCTGCTCACAGCAACTGCGGAACCTAATAGCAGCAATCCATATTAGTTTTCTCATTGGTAAAGCCTTGCGAACTGTGCCCCGTCTAAAGGAAGGTGCTGGGCTAGCCTGTAAATTGCTTAGGGCACTAGATCCTGCATTAGCCACTGTTGGCACTTTTGCAACGTGTAGTTGCTTTACAGGTCCACGGCTGTAGTCCAGTGTAGTGGAGCCCTGTCCTCGAAGACCCCCTTTGGGGTCTAAGGCCACTGGCAGTGCAAAGACTCGATGGGGCATGTCCCCTTTAAGGGGTCTGTGCTGCCATGTCAGCTGCTTCATTGAGGGTGGTAAGAGCTTATCCCTTCCCCCTGTTGATATCTAACTTGGGGTTTCCAATTCCAGAGGGGTTTAGTTTCCCCCCAAATTTTAATTTGGTGCCATTTCCCTTGGGTCTATGGAGCAGCCTGGGATGTCTCACTCTGGGGATCCCGAATGCACATGTCCACCATTACCTTTCTTAAATACACTGTATTGGGCACACCTGCTACTGCAACTCTGCACTGAACGGGATTTAAGATCTCTGCCACTCCTGCACTGGGTTATTGCTGCTGCCTTTGGCATTGGCTAACCATTCATCCCTACTCTCCTTTATTGCAAGTATTGGGCTCTGGCAATGGAAGATCATATGCGCAGGGAGGCAAAAAAAGGCCTTATTTGTGCATCCTGGCCCTGCTATGCAACCTGCTCACGCCACCCTGGTGTCAGACCTGAATGGTCAAAGGCTATAACTCGGGACCCTCATTCCATCTTGACATACAATGCAGGTTTATTACCAGGAGCAGGGTTCCCTAGGCATTGCCATGGTTGCCTTGGGGACTCTGTGGAATCAGTATTGCCTGATCTATGCCTTCCCTTCCCTGAAACTCTCGCCTCGTCTCCTTCGCAGGATCAAGGTGGAGAGCATTGCAGTGATCCTGATTGCTCCCATCTGGCCCAGGAGATCGTGGACGTAGTCAAGCTCTAGAAGACTCTCCATGAGTATGTTCCAATCGTCTAATCGACCTGCTGTTCCAAGAACAGATATTCCACCCTGCTTATCGGTCACTAATGGCTTGGTGACTGCTTTCTGTAATTGGCTCTTGCACTGCTTGCTGCAGAATTGAAGCAAGCTGCTAGTGGGATGCATTATACAGGGGTGTCCTATAGCTTTGATTTACCAATATCCAGTCAGCTAAAGGTAGCTGCATAATCCAACCATTGACTTACCTCCTTGGGTCCTGTGATGTTTTCCAAGAAACATATTTTAACATTCAAGGATTCATTGCTCATATTTTCACTCATCCTCATAGTTCGCGCCGACGTATGGCATTGAAACTGTTGCACGTCTGCTCTATAGATCGGGAAGTGAGTGAACACATACCGTCGCTCGCTCACTTCTCGATCATCTCCCTGCAGAGAGCGGTGACTGAGTCATGGCTCCCTGGAGGGTTTCCCCCCCTTCCCTCTCAGATCCTCCAACGCGGACCCTCTAGATTGACAGCGGGCTCTGCCTATCAACCAGCTGGGTGGATCTCGACAGTATTGTTGGGATCCGTCCTGGCTGCAGCGCTCAGTATATAGCGACCTGTAGATCACGGGAGGACGTTACTATATGTCCTCCCCTGACCCATATGGGATGAAAAGGTTACCCCATAGTTCTCTTTTGAGACCAAAATCCTGTTTTTTTTTTGTGTTTTTTCCCCTCTTTGCTATGAAAATGGTGTCCTGTATGAGTTGAGCAAAGATCCCCTGACCTTTTTAGTGTCACATGATTAAGGACCCGTCTGCACTATTGCGCTGCCACAATGCATGTTATGCGTTAACAAAGTGCATGTTAACGTGATGCAGTGCCATTCATTTTTAATGAACCTTCTCAGAACCACTTGCATTGCAGCGCTTTAATGTGCCTTGCCTTATGCTGCTAAATATTGGATATTTTTGGCCCAATTAGGTGAAACAGAATGTGTTGCCTTAATGTGCAGCAAAGCAGCTCACCTGTGTGAATAGCCTTAAATAAAGTCATGCTGTGAGGTAGTAAATATTGTGCTTATTTTAAACACTTAAGCATGCAAAAATGTAATAGTTCAGTTGTACAGTCCCTAGAGAGGGTGGTTACATTAGTTTTCTTTTTTTTTTACTAAGAACATTTTCGGCAAGTTCAGAAACTACCTGTTGAATTTGACAGAAATCCTATGTCCTTGTCACTTCCTGTGAGCTACACTGTAGACTAGGTTATGTTTTTTGTATAATCTACTAATCCTATCGGGTATTGTGTAATGAACAAATCAGGTACTTCCAGGCTGCCCTGGGTGGCAACCATGGCTCCTTCCATAGATGCCACTGGAGGTGTAAACAGCTACCTAGTGACCGGAAGTGCTGTTCTTAGGTTTACCAGGTAAAATGCCTGGGGGGGGGGGGGGGGGC